TCACATTCACTCGAGAGCCATGTCTGTAAGTTACCGCTAATGTGACTAGGTCGCCATGGGACACATTATAGGTAGACTACCATTTTGCTTTCATTCCTACACTACACCACAATGGTAAAATGGCAATATGCAAGCGGGATTCATTGTGTATGTGAATGGGATACAAGAGACTGAGGAGAGAGATGTAATTGTCCCCACCTGAGTAAATGGCTGCTCTGTTTTTACGTTCTTTGTCTGTTTTTCTTTTCCTTGGAATACTACAAGAAATTACCATGCATTTTAACATTTATACCGTAAATGAAGAACGAATTAGCATATAAGGGTTAAAATTCACAATAATTTCTTATCATATTAGTGCACATGCACATAAAATAAGTTCCCATTTAAACTGTTACAACAATTGATTGCCATATGTATTTTTAATGGTGAATGCATACTGTAGAAAATTTGCACACAAGAATTATTATAATGCTACCAGTCAAATTCATCTTCAAATTTGTTTATTGTGTGTTGTCTCTTTTTCAGAGCAATTATACTATATAGTGAAAAGACAACCTGGGCTGAAACCCCTTTTGTGCTTACTATGCATTGGCTTCCTGCAGACTGTAGTGTCTTACATCCATGTCATTTTTTATAGAATTCTGTAGTGTCACCTTTTATAGTTCTTTTAACATCAGTTTCATTTTATGGACTGCTTGTAATCGATCTTCACCAGCCCTGAATACGATATTCAGCCAGATATTCCAATTTTGGATTATTTGTGTTCTCTTTTTGTTTAAAAAACTTTTCTCTGAGTGCATGTTTATGGGTCTCGCTAGGTACCCTAGTCATAGTTGGGTGACTGTATATGTCCCTGACGGCTGCCACTATTATGTTGCAGCAAACTCTTATGCCAATAGGTCAAACAACTATAAAAATGTACAAATATGGCTGCATACAAATGCAAAAGACACAAAACTTCATATTTATGGTCAGAGTGAAGTACACCAAAATACTATGTTGCTAGATTGAAAATATAATCTAAAATATAAAATAATATTTAACGAATGAGATATTTAGGTAATAGTGTTAATCCAAAAACTTGAAATCGATGAGTGAACACAGAATGACAGGCACTTTTTTTTTGTTAGCGGAATCAATAACACCCGTTTTTGCTAAACCAAGCAACCACTGTATTTTGCTGTAAAAGTAAGCAATACAGTTTAATGAAAAATGGCAAGATATTTTTATAGTATCGTACCACGTGCGCAGAAATATAAACTTTTTGGCCACTAAATTAGATGAAGCTTCTTTCTGTACCGTTAAACTAATCTAATATGGTAAGTCTGTCTTTCAATTTGATTTAACTAACAGGTGTAGCAAATATTGCATTATGTGTTTAAGTAATTAATACTACATTATTGTTGTGTGTGTGACATCATTCAAAGTCTGTGTCCTCCGCCTCCTCATATAATGATAGATGCAGTAGGTCTTTGCACTCTGTATGAGCTGTGGCACCTCAAAGTTTACAAATTAAGCACTAGTGGAAACCAGCATTAAGGAGCAATACTGGCACCTATGTTGGTGTGAATCAGATAGTTACTGGTGCTGGATTATTTACAATAATCCAGTACTATGTGTAATATTAACATTATATTGATATTTCATTTTTTAAAATATCATCATTATTATTATCAATACAGTATATCACCCCTATAGCACCCCTGGCGTGGCAACAAAGACTTTGCCGTGGTAAGTTGCCACGGGCAAATGTTACCAGTAGAAACACTTAGGTTGGAAATTTTCAAGTTCTATGTTATGGGTAATGCATCATATCGACACAGATCACTGGTTCCTTCTTGTCTCCTTGCAGATGGTGGTGACACAACCAACTCGGTTTAGTCATGCTTTCGGCCTTGCTAGTAAGCGGGGCCATGTCAGTGGCAGTACTTTACCATGAAAATCTGTCTCTTCACAGCTTGGTTTAGGTGCAGCTTGGTTCTTGGTCAGGTCAGGTCAGGTTGGGGAGCATGCGCTTATGCAACGTTTTGCCGCACCCACCACACAACGAAACTCCTCGGGATCCCAGCTGGCAATTCCCCAGGTAGATACACAGTCCAGTCCCACCCTCCGGAAGTGGCCATCCATCTGCTGCAGCCAGGTGTTACGTAAGCGTCCCCTTGGCCTGGTCCAGCCGCTTGGCTCCTCAGCAAAGAGGATCCTGCAAGCTGGATCACCCTCAGGGAAACACGCCACATGGCCATAGTGCCTTAACTGATGCTCCCTCACAATGCAGGTATTGTGTCTCATTTGGAACTCCTCTAGTAACTGCTCATTCGACACAAAGTCAGCGGTACCCAAGGATTCTTCCAAGAGACACAGTACCGAAGGAGTCCAGTCTTCGTCTCAGCTCACTGGATAGCGTCCATGTCTCACAGCCATACAGCAAGACGGGGAGCACCAGGAACCCAAACGACTTGGACCTTCGTCCGCTTGCAAAGATATTAGGAATTCACACACCCCTTTCCAGCAACCTCATGACCCCTCATGCTCTTCCAATCTGTCTGCTGACTTCATAGGAAGAGTCACCAGAGACATGAATGTCACTACCAAGGTAGGTAAATCTCTCAAGGTCAACATTCTCCCCGCAGACAGGCACACTACTGATGGCTATTCACAAGAAGTCATTAAATGCCTGAATCTTGGTCTTTATCTAGGACACCAGCAATCCCAGACACTCAGACTTCTCACTCAGTCTCTCGAGTGACTGATTTCCATTGACTTCCATTGACTCCGCTAAGATCACAACATCGTTGGCAAAGTCTAGATCAGTAAATCTTTCTTCACCAATGGATGCTGCACAGCTGCTGGACCCCACGACCCTGCCCAACACCCAGTCCATACAAGCATTAAACAGAGTAGGAGCAAGAACACACTCCTGGCGAACCCCAGGATCAACTGGAAAGAATGCAGAGGTTCTCCCTCCACTCTGCACAGCACTCATAGTACCAGTGTATAGGCCGGCCATGATGTCCAGCAACTTCAGGGAGATCCTGCAAAGTCTCAGGATGTCCCACAGGGCAATAAGATCAACTTAGTTGAACGCTTTGCGAATTTTGACAAAGACTGCAAAAGAACCTCTGCCAATATTCACACTTGTGCTCGAGGAGATCCCCCAGTACAAGGATACGGTCGATGGTAGACTACTTAGGCGTAAAACCAGACTGCTCTGGTCGCTGACAGACAAGCAAGTGATCACGGATCCTCTTAAGGATGACCCTAGCAAGGACCTTACCTGGCACTGAAAGCAGTGTTATCCCCCTGTAGTTGCTGCCATCCAGGCAATCCACCCATCCCTTTACAGATAGGGACTACATGTCCCGTTTTCCAGTCAGATGGGATGATGCCTGACTCCCAAATGGAAGCAAAGATTGTCTGCAATGCCAGGAGGACAGCCTTACCACCAGCCTGGAGAAGTTGACCTCAGATACCACAGATCCCTGCAGCCTTCCCAACCCTCAGCTGATTCACCACCCGTGCAATCTCAGTGAGATTGGGTGGCTCATAGCTGATTGGAGAGTCAGCTTTGAGAACCGTGGACCCAGAGATGTCCAACATCCTAGCTGGAGGGTCAGCTTTAAACAGCTGCTCAAAGTAGCCGGTCCAGCGGGTCACAACTGCAATGTCATCCGTAAGGACCGTTCCATCACTCGCCCTGACTGCAAGTCTCCGAGGAACAGATTCAGATGTGCGTAATGCTTCGATTTCTCTGTAGGCAGGACGTGGGTCACTAGACCACAGATGGTGTGTCACCTGCTCACAGATTCGTCTAAGAAACGCCTCCTTATCTGCCCTCAGAGCCCTCACAGCCCTCACAGCCGTCCTTCTCAGTTCCCAGTACAGACTGGCATTGCCACCAAGTTATGCGGTGCGACTCCTCTCGATAATATCCAAGGTGCCCGGCGAGATGAAACACCTCCTTCTGGGAACACCGGCAACACCAACACAACCCTCAGCAACCTTCAGAGTCACATTTGAGTCAGCAGTTGCAAGTTCTGCAAGTTGCAGAACACAATTCACAAATTGCGTGCAAACTCATCAGAAACAGCTTGATCTTGGAGTCCAGCCTCGTTCTCCTAGTAGATGGTAGCCTACTGGATCTAAGCTGAATCTTCAGAGTAGCAACAACAAGTCTGTGATCAGAATTCACAAACTGGGCACTTCTCTAGACCTTGCAGTTCTGCAGGAGTCTCCAGTGTCTGCCCACAAGGATGTGATCGATCTTTTTCGCCACACCACCAGTTTTGGAATACTAAGTCCAACAATGCAGCTCAGGGCGTTGGAACCAGGATCCAACAACCCGCAACCCCTGACCTTTTGCAAGTCAAGGAACATGGACCAGGTTTCACCGCGGTCTCTGGACCCATGGGGACCGACACAATCCTCATAGCAACCCTGTCAGTGCCAGTGGTTGCATTGAAGTCACCCATGACCACAGGAGTGTCACCTCGTGGGCACCCTTCAACCACCAAGCGAAGTTGTGAGTAAAATGTCTCCTTCAACAAGACATCACTCACTGTGGTCAGAGCATACACTGAGACAACAAACAAGACACCCAAGGAGTGCCTTAGCCTGAGTCTCATGATACGCATGAAGACTTACCCCCATCCCCTTCATGGTGTGTGCAGCCTTCGGGCAACTGCGGCAGAGCTACTCCCGTGGAGAGCAGAAGAGTATCGTACTTGTTTGAATTGAGCAGTTGTGAGTTGTTTTACGGTGGCTGGAGTGCCAGTCCTGCCACCAACCCCCAAAAAATTTGTTTCCCTGCAAGTTGGATGACCGCTTGCAGGGGTTCTTAGTGGCAGTGGAAAAACTAACATAAGTGAATGAATCACAGTAACTTATCATCCCTATATATTGAATAAAATATAAAGGGGCTTCTGATATTTTAAAACTTGCCGTTGCTAGAAAAGGTAAGCTAGTGCTCTATCTGTGCTTATTAACTTGCCTTTTGGATCCAGGAAGGAACTGATCGTGCAGTACAGCCAGCTTTCAGAGGAGGCTGCATGGAGGGAGCGGAGGGCACTATGGAGGGCACAGAGACTCCGTCTATACCAGGCCAGGACTCTTTATCTGCAGGAGGATCGGCAACTGATTGAGGTCAGTGTCCTCCTGTGAATGCACACACCCACTGACACACTTACTTATGCCTCTCTGTTAACCAAAGTTTTGTGATGTCAGTGTGATGGTTGCTAAGCAAACCACAGCAAAACTAACAACTGATAAGAACCCTTTTTAATGGGACCCAAGACCCTTTTTGAAGTTGTAAGAATATACTAATACCTTTTCCATTGATCTTAAATTTCTTAAAAGAAATTTTAATGGTGGTGCAATATGATCAAATCAGCTTTTCCACATTTTCATCTGCCCTGCTGTTGCTCTTTGCAGTCACCTAAGACCAGGGGGTATTCTCCGTACGTGGATTACTCGTTTAGCCGGATGAAATTGTTCACGATTTGGCATGATCCTGGATCTGTCGGTTTTTCGAAACTCTTGCTGGATGTGTTGTTATAGCAACACATCCTAATTGTCAAACCTGCTTGGAGCAGGTTTGTTCTGTGTAAACAAGTATTAGCTCGCACACGTAATCAGTGTCTGTGCGTGGATATTCAATCAGTCATGGCCTCGCCATTCATGGATGAGCGACAAATTGCAATTGGTGCACAAATAATAAGAAGGGAATTTCAAATTGAGAGGGATTTGCGCGATTGGCAAGATCCTTTATTGTTGCCGGATGATATTATTTTTGAAAGATAACGCTTCAGCCGAGATGGAATATTATATCTTATTTATTAGCTCCGTATAGTAGAAGTCCAACTAGGTGAAGTCGGGCTCTCACAGCGACACGGACAAGGTGCATTGGCTTCAGATATTTTGTAAGCGGCACTTGTTTGTATACTGTAGATGATACGGAAAATATATCAAAGAGTACAGTTTGTTGTTTTTCCCAGACACCTGCGCGTGCAGGCAATTAAAGACGCGTTTTATGACATTGCAGGTAAATGTATACGCAACCTAATTAGTTCTATAAAGCATTTAAAAATCACACTAATATTCTTATTACCCAGAATTTCCAAAATACATAACACACACACACACACACACATATATACAGTGGTACCTCGTTCTCGGACTCATTAGAACTCGAATTTCTTAAAAGTCGAACCAACCAGTTCGAAAAAAAATTACCTAGAAATTGATCTGAATTTGGATACATTTATTTATTATTACATTAAAAATTACTGTTTTGATAAATTTGCTTAGATGTGTTTAGTACAGTATATGCTTTTTTAGTTTTTTTCTCTGGTTCATTTTGTGTTTAAATGCTAAAAAAACACATTTAGGTGTAATTTTTTGGGGCTGGGAACCAATTAATTGGTTTTCCATTATTTCTTATGGGGAAAATTCGATCAGAACTCGAACGTTTTAGGAGTTCGAACGGATTAATATCGAGTTCTGAGGTACCACTGTATATACAGTATGTATGAATGAAATGTCATGTTTGTACTTCACTTTAACTTGTTTTTAACTTGTTCCCATGTCCTGCATGATTGTGCTTGTATTTGATCGGTACTTTGATCGGTACAAAAAAAATGATAATGAAACATTGGAAATGTAATACTAAATTTTTGGTTTGGTTTAATGTGTTTCCATTAGTACATATTAAATCTTTGAATTCACCATACCCCTTTAATAAAAGGTCTGGCTCGGGTTGCATGAAAAATTGCGCCCTGTTTTTTGACGTTTTGTGGAAGCCAATGAGAGACTTGCCGATCAAGTTCTCTAGACTCAATATATATGGGCTTTTCAAGCAGCGTGGGCATGTGCAGTCATCTCGGATGATTTGGATCCAGCTAGGCTAATCTAATCGTGAAGTGCGTTTCAGGAATCAAATTAACCAGATGATTTTCACCGCCAGTAATTGATCCAAGGTGAGGCTTCTAATCTTGGAAGATTTAAGCGACGTACGGAGAATACCCCTCAGTTGTCTATCTGTCCATTGTTATGACATAATTTAAGAAACGAATAACATGTAAAACAAACATTTGTTAAACATAAAGATCAGCCAGATAAGCTGAATACCTCCATAAATTTGTAACTCTTACATTGTATCTCCTTTATAAGAAACCATTACTAGTTAAACCTTTCATGTGTTATGTTTACTTCTCTGACTAGGAACAGTCTGCAATTTAGCTAATGTGCTTTTGCTTTCTTGTGCCCAGGCTCTCCTGGAGAGATATCCGCTAGTACAAAGGGAATTTTCCCAGGAACCCCCCCCTTCATTAGCCAGCATGGATCAGCCCATCCTGGTGGGTTTGCTGGGAGTTAGTCAACTTTGTGATGTTTTGACAGAGAAGGGTTTGGTTCTGAGGTGCTCCAATGCATTGTGTGCCCATTTACCATCTATTACTGCTTTATCTTACTATGCTCTTTGTCTGTGTAGGAACAAAAGGCGTCTGATGGTGCATCTGAGAAATTACGGGGCATTCTAGACAATGTCCCTACAGTCATCCCACAAATCCCTGTGGCTTCTACCACTCAGCCCACTCCCATCAATAATCTTAAGCCCTTAACCCCAGCTGAGCTGAACCTCAATGATTTTCTCAACAAACTTCCTCAAGTTGCAGACAGTCGACAAGTGGATTCGGCTTTGCAGGATATTGGCTTTGACCTTTCAGAGGGACATTCTGCTCTAATAGAACATGACATGTATGCAGATAATCCCCATAACCCCCTACGGGCTGTTTGGCCTCAATGGGGTCATGCAGGACAGACCTATGACCAGCAGAACCCCAGAAATCAATGTCAGCTTTCCACAGTTGACTCTGAAATCACTCAAGGTCTGTTACCTCAGACCGGGATGCTGGACACTTGTCCAGAGTCAGCAAGTGTAGGTCCAGTTGCTGAGGTAGATTCTACTGTGCAGAAACAGGCAGGACACCTTGCAAGTGCCTTTGTTACTGGGGGAGAGTTTGTTGAGGGCAGTCAGATCTGTGCTGGCAGCTTTGAGGACCCTGTTTCCCAAGTAAAGGTTGAATCAAATGAACATATACCTACTGTGCACGGATCTGCTTCAGATGCAAGTATTAATGTGGGGACACATGTATCAGAAAAAGTCAGCCACGCTGCTTTGATTGGCACTTACAAACATGTATCAGAAGTGGATTCTTCTCACCCATTCTCAAATATTTATGATCATGTATCAGATGACAACATAATGGTGGGTGGGTTTACATCTGAGGCGTTATTCCCCCACCCCTGCTGGAACACACATGGCCACTTCTCTGACTGCACACTCAATGTGGACCGTGTGCTGCCAGGCTCAGAGCCTTCAGAGCCCAAGCACCTGCCTGGCAGTATGTATGGACACTCTTCAGACTCTACCCTTGGAATTGGGTGCATAGTTTTGGGCACAGAACCAGTCCAGTCCTCCTTGCCTGTATATGTTTACGGGCACTCCTCTGACTCTGTGTTGGATGTGGGCTGTGTGGTTAAAGGCCCAGAGCCAATCCAGGCCCCACTTCCTGGAAGTGCTTATGGACATTCCTCGGACTCTGTGTTGGACGTGGGCTGTGTGGTTAAAGGGCCAGAGCCAGTCCGGGCCTCTCTTCCTGGAAGTACTTATGGACACTCCTCAGACTCTCTGTTGGATGCGGGCTGTGTTGTTAAAGGCCCAAAGTCAGTTCAGGCCTCACTTCCTGGAAGTGCTTATGGACACTCCTCGGACACTGTGTTGGACGTGGGCTGCGTGGTTAAAGGCCCAGAGCCAGTCCGGGCCTCACTTCCTGGAAGTACTTATGGACACTCCTCAGACTCTGTGTTGGACGCGGGCTGTGTGGTTAAAGGCCCAAAGTCAGTCCGGGCCTCACTTCCTGGAAGTGCTTATGGACACTCCTCAGACTCTGTGTTGGACGTGGGCTGTGTGGTTAAAGGCTCAAAGTCAGTCCAGGCCTCACTTCCTGGAAGTGCTTACGGACACTCCTCGGACACTGTGTTGGATGTGGGCTGTGTGGTTAAAGGCACAGTGCCCGTACAAGTTCCAGCTGTCCTTGATGAGACCAGTGTCAACCTGGATGCCCAGAACCCAAAATTTGGTATGGCTTTAAGATGCTTTAACTTGTGCAGATTTTTTAACTATGTAATTCCACACTAAAAACTGTCATAAATAAACTAATTATATTACTGGACATTTTTGGGCAGGTGCAGGGGGCTGGGGCTGCTTGAGTACCTGCCCCTTTTGCATGAATGATTCAAAGTCCCCCTTTATCAAATTTTACAGGGGGAACTTTGGGTGGTTCCTACTAGGGAAATTCTGGGAATTTTCAAAGTTGGAAACTTTCCAGTGGGATTAACGTGACTATATGGTAATTAATGGGAAAACTGGAATTTTTAGAGAACTCAAATGTAGTTGAAAAAACATCTTGCAGCATAATCTCGGTTAAAACAACTAAATTTAATGCAAATTCAGAATTTGTACCCTACACTGTGCATTCCGCCCTCACATGCACAGTTAATTTCTAGTATAATGCACACTATAGCATACTGCTGCGTTTGAGCCCAGGACTACATCCAGTCAGTTTTGATGATATTACAGTTATATTTTATCTATGGTATTAAAACTTAACTAGGAAATAGTAAATCTAAATGTGTTTATACAGCAGCTAGCTAGCCAGTAAATCAGATATGCTTAATGTCAGCTAGCTAACACAATTTCATTGACAGTTTAACTTTTGGAACCCGATCGCCTCATAATGCATTGATTGAGCTTAAAAACAACTCACAAACACATAGACAGACAGAAATCATGCATATGCCGTCAGAATCGTGAGACGCTGAGCTTTATGGTGATAATTATGATATCATTGCATAACCAAGTGCTTGTGAGTAATTGTGTGTGTAAAAACATTCCAAAATAAGCATATGTATCAAAATGTACTACTTATTCTATATTATCATATTCTGTATTATCCATGTGGTTTGCTTTATTTGCCAACTTGCTGTATCTGACGGTTCGCGCAGAGTTCTACAGCTCGCTGAAACAGTCCGGCTCTGCTCGTTTATTATTATAGACAAAAAACCTGTTATGACCTTTAAATCAGAAAACAGCATTCTATTCATAAGGAAGCCATTTACTTGACATTTTTTGCACAAAAATTTGCATATGCTTGTTTGATATCAAGCTGTATATTTCCCCACCTTAACTTCCTGTGGAAGGTTTCTAGAAATTTGCCAGAAATTTTCTGCCCCTTTGAAACTCTAGTTCCTACTGCAGTTTCTCTATTTTAGCATAAAAACATTAACCTTCAGCACTGTTCTGATGATGATTATTATTATCCTGCTGGAAAGACACCAAGCACATGTCCAGAACCTTCTTTAGTATAGGCACTTTGTGAATCTTAATCATTTGCTCATAGATTGAGATTAGTGATGTCATGTGTATGGCCTGAAACTGTTATGTAGTTTGCTTTTGGATTAACATTTTAAATTTAAATTTAGTTTTGTTTACATTATATATTTCCACTTTAACATTTCTAGGAATTTGTAAACACATCAGGTTAAATAAGAAAATTGATTGTAATTATGTCCTGTCTTTTGTGTGTCTATACACACAATGACTCAGATACCCCCAAGGAGCACCAGATGCTTGAAGGAGTGTCTGCATGGCCATGCAGCATCCCGAGCGGGGAGGCAGAGGAAGAGGATTACCTCCGCTGTCTGTCTACGCAGTACACAGTGGAGCAGTACCAAGATGACTACCACCTCCTCAGTTAGTGGGAGCATCCATTACTCACTAACAGTACCGGCCTACACGTTGTACTCAATTACTTTCATCACATAGTTGCCAGAGGAATAAACATTTTCTTCACTATAAAGCAAATTTTTGGGCTATTAAAATCTATACACTCCATGTGACCTGAATGCTCTCAGTGTTGCACTTTGTCTAATACATTTTATTGGATTCTTGCTATGATTAGAAGATGTTGTGAAGCTCTTGCTCCAGAACTGCCTACACCAGGGGTCTCCAACTCCGGTCCTGGAGAGCTACTATCCAGTAGGTTTTCTATCCTACCTGGCTTCTGATGAGCCACACTAGTTCTCAAGTAAATACCAGGAGCAGGTGTGGCTCATCAGAAGCCAGGTAGGATAGAAAACTTACTGGATAGTAGCTCTCCAGGACCAGAGTTGGAGACCCCTGGCCTACACATACCTGGGCATTCATTGGAAGCTCTACCTAGATGCACTTATACATAGTGTTGCAGTACTCGAGACCACTTTTTTCTTTGTCTCGGTCTCAGACATAGAGGACTCGAGATTTTATTTCAAGACCAGTCAAGACCACTCATCAAAACGCCTCTGTATTTATCTATATGACGGCTTAAATTTTCATATGTTTGTTAACTCAGAGAACCCGACAAACACAAAATGCATTGATTTTCGCACCAATTAATGACAGGCTATAAGCACAGGCACAGGCTATAAGGCACAGGCATGAATCTTTTCAATCAAGAGAACTTACTCGATCCGGTAATTCAAGTTGCTGAGTATTCCAGAGTAATCCCGTGCATAATGAATCATATATTTTAAACATTTTCCATGAAAAAGCACCCCTAATATTCCAAAAAAAAAAAATATCAATGATATTCACATTTGACGGATGAGGAAACGCATATTCATTCATATTCATTCATATTTCTGCAATGATCCATGCACCCTTCTAGTAAAAACATATTGGCAACTCTTTAATTTAAGTACTCATTATTTTGCATTATACTACATAATACTAATACATTCATAAAGTATTATCGACACTTCTTTAAAAGGCATAACACATAGTGATGCATAATATGCATTATGAATGCTCTATGAAAGTCTCATCTATAATGCGCTATACCACTAAGTGTATATAAAACCATGCATTGCTGTCTATCAGATAACTTCAACAAGTTACCAAGTGAATGCAAAGATATTCATGAAAGATATTCCATTTCTGTCTGGCACGAATTGTATTCCTGCAAGATACTAAACCATAGAAAGGTTCCCAAATAAACCCAATATTCCCACATCATAGAGACTGTAATCACAACATTTATAAGATTATATATGAAATGCCTGCAAAATTTTTTATCAGGTGAGAGTAAAAATTGAGAAATTTCAATAGGCGCAAGTAGGTTTTCCTCCTAAGGATATCAAAACTGTGTCAGCATTTACACATCAAATTATGATATATCACAGCCCACGTGTCCCATTCTAGCCCTGCCTTGGTTTGGTCTTGTCGTGGTCTTGCCCTGCCCTGCCTTGGTCTTGGTCTTGTCTTGGTCTGGCCCTGCCTTGGTCTTGATCTTGTCTTGGTCTCGACACACTCTGGTCTTGGTAATGATTTAGTCTCAGTTTAGGTGGTCTTAACTACAACACTACTACACTACCTATACCTAGTTGACTCCTTGACTTAGCATTATGCTCATAATGTGCAATTTCCTGCTAAACAAAGTAAATGTAAATATAAATTTTGCTTAAAATCCACAAAGACAACACACTGATTCTACATTTTCTCTCCTTCACAGCAGCGGCCTATGACTCTCAGCTGCTTCAGCAGATCATCCGTGGCCCCTATGGCTTCCCAGGGTCCCCAGTGATGTGGAGGTCCACCGATGCCACGGCTGTGCAGCTCAGCGAGATGGTGTCTCTGCCTGTGTTGATGAAGCACTCCGTCACCATGCCACTGATCACACAGTGCGTCCCCTTTAATATAACTGCGTGTGCATGTGTGTTCCAGTATGTGTATCACTGGATTGCACTATAAAAACATACATGCATGCTTTAATTAGATAGATAGATAAGATCCAGTTATGGCTAAAAACCAAAGTTGGATGAGGTATGATGGAAGCAGTAAAGTGTTTTTAATTTCTGAATAAATGAATGAACCTTCTTAACAGTGCATGGAGGTCAGGGACAGTACCGCTGGATTGGCAGACCAGGGTCGTGGTCCCCTTGTTTAAGAAAGGAGACCGGATAGTGTGTTCCAACTGCAGTGGGATCACACTTCTCAGCCTTCCTGGGAAAGTCTATTCCAGGGTACTGGAGAGGAGGGTGAGATCGATAGTCAAATTTTAAATTCAGGAGGAACGATGCATTTTTCGTCCTGGCTGTGGAACACTGGACCAACTTTATATCCTTGCAAGGGTTCTGGAGGGAGACTGGGAGTTTGCTCATCTAGTCTACATGTATTTTGTGGACTTGGAAAAGGCTTACGACCGGGTTCTCCGAGGTGCTCTGTGGGGGGTGCTTCGGGTGTATGTGGTTTGGGGCCTGCTACTGCAGGCAATTCGGTCCCAATATGAACGGAGCAGAAGCTTGGTCCGCATTGCCGGCAATAAGTCGGACGTGTTCCTGGTGCGTTTTGGGTTCCGCCAGGGCTACCCTTTGTCTCCGGTCCTGTTTATAATATTTCTGGACAGGATTTCTAGGCACAGCCAGGGTGTTGAGGGTGTCCAGTTTGGTGGCCTCAGGACTGTGTCGCTACTTTTTGCGGATGACATGGTCCTGTTGGCTTCATCTGCTGGGGACTTCCAACATGTTCTGGGGCAGTTCGCAGCCGAGTGTGAATGAGCGGGGATGAGGATTAGCACGTCCAAGTCCGAGACCATGGTTCTCAACTGGAAACGGGTGGATTGCCCTCTTCAGGTCAGGGAGGAGGTACTGTCTTAAGTGGAGGAGTTTAGGTATCTCAAGGTCTCGCTCATGAGTGATGGTAGAGGAGATCGAGAGCTAGACAGACAGATCGGAGCGGCGTCTGCAGTGTTGCAGGCACTGGTTAGTTATGGCCAAAAAAGAACTAAGCCTGAAAGCAAAGCTCTCGATCTATTGGTCCATCTTTGTTCCCACCCTCACCTATGGGCATGAGCTGTGGGTAGTGACCGAAAGAATGAGATTGTGGATACAGGCAGCCGAAATGAGGTTTCTCCGCAGGGTGTCTGGGCTCTCCCTTATAGATAAGCCTTCTGTGCGGCTACCTGGAGAGGTTTTCCGTGCATGTCCCACAGGGAGGAGGACCCAGGATGAGCCGGAGGGATTATATCTTATATATTATATCTGTGTATTATATCCCTCGCCCCCGAAGAGCTGGTAGAGGTGGCTGGGGAGAGGGAAGTTTGGGTATCCCTCCTGAAGTTGCTTCCCCCGCGACCCGTACCTCGGACAAGCGGATGGTGATATATCACTTTTCAGGACACCCAAAGCAGAAGCCATGGGGAGGCCACTTCAGTCACAACCACTTTGTAGCACCCACCTAGATGATGTGACGGCAGCCATTCTGTGCCAGTACACTCAATACACAGTAGCTAAGGTGGTGAAGGGGCAGGAGAGAATTCACCAGTTAGATATAGGGGATGATTAGAAGGCTATATTTGGTAGGGCCACAGTAGGCAGTTTTTCTCTAGAAAGGAGTCACTTCCTTTGACTTACAGTAGAGAAGGAAATGTAACATTTAGACAGATTAGACTGAGCTGTACAGTGATAATTAAAGGTCAGCTGTGGTGTGTGCATAATATTTGGGAAATAATTGTAGATTTGGTGAGAGAAGTGTCTAGTAAACAGTTCGTGTGTATTTACGGCCTCACAGACCACTGGTGGGTGGGCATGTTAAACAGGTGCTTGTTAATGTACCTAAGTGTGTTGGCAGCATATGTATTAAAAATGTAGAGATATTCCCATTCTGAGCTGCGTAAATGTGTAGTCACACATTCCTCCTGTCTATGAAGAGCAGGTAGAGCGTTCTAGAGGGCCAGCTTTGGGTTGCTGCCATCATTGACAGCTTCATTTCAGCATGTATCCGTCTGCAGCGTGTCCCTGGTAAACAAAGCCGTGGTGGATTACTTCTTTGTGGAGCTGGAGGTGGAGCACCACTTCGAGGCCCTCAGGCACTTCTTGCTCATGGAGGACGGCGAGTTTGCTCAGTCACTCAGTGATTTGCTGTTTGAAAAGGTGAGACTGGAGCACATTGGTGCCATGTAGAGAGTGAGTAAGTGCAGTGAGTCATTGGTTATCCTGGCTTAACTTAGCTATTCAAATCCCTGAAAAAGATCTGCTTGGCCTAGCTACTAAAATCTGAATATTTTCCTGAAACAATAACCTCATTTAGTATAAATAGATTGAAATACAGTCGAACCCACTTATCTCGACCTCGGCTAACTTGCCAACCCTATTAAGTCGACGTTTTTGAAGTGAAACCGCCAAATTCCCTCTTTGCATTAGCATTTCTCATCGGTTATGTCGATTCTTTTATGTCGCCGAACCCTAATATCTCGAGCACAAAAGAGGGCCAAAATCATCACTTAATGTCGGTTATCTCGATCCCCGTGACTAATCGCCGGCTTTTTAAAATGTATCATAAGTGCTAAACAGTTGCATTAGCGCGTATTCAAATCGCATTCGCATGGTAATTTGCTGAACAACGCAGCGGTGAAACGCGATCTAGGTAAATCCCCATCAAAACCATAAAAGGGGGGGAATGTGGCCAGGTGTGAATGGCTCGTGCTTACGTTTATGCTAGCTTTGGACTAACCAATAAATTGATCGTTCACTCCAATGACAGTTCAATCATTCTTGTTGATCTTTTCTGAGGGATAACACGCATTTGTTTTCAAGCAGACTGTCAAAGGCAAAAAGCAACAAAGCATTTTAGACTTTGTAAAGAAACCATATTAACTGAGTGTACGATACTTTTCAGAGCTGTCAGAGCGAAATGACTTGTGAATTTAATTTTGACACTGGTTTGCTTTTTGTAACAACGAATTACACCCCGCAGGTTTTTTTTGCGATTTTGTGAGCGATCTTTGTGTTTGCATTGTTGGATAATATAATTAAAGGTTTGTATCGAGAATCGATGGTGGTTTTTATTGTATACTGGTAAATCTCTGCTTTTAGTTGGTGCACATTAGTTGGTGCACATTAGCCAACATGTATGTACATTTTTATAGCATGCCGATCGCGCCATCAAACAAATCGCGGCAACGCTGTTTTGTAAAAAAAAAAAACCTGTGCATACACATTCTCATTTATTAACGCACATAAATAAATTTCAAGCATATGTTAAGTATATTTCCGCCATATTGGTTTTCGGTTATCTCGATCATCGGTTATCTCTACGCTTTTTGGCAACCCCCTAGGCCGGCGACATAACCGGGTTCGACTGTATTGAAATTAGGGGTAATTTTTTCAAGTTTATTATTCGAAATGATGAGTATTGGACCCCTACCCTCTTGGATGCTTTCTTTTATGGGATTTCTGCTGTCACACCTCTCCCCCATCACACTTCTCCCCCAAGCTGAGTAGTGGCCAGACTCCTGGGGAGCTCCTGACACCCCTGGTGCTGAACTCCATCCTTAGCAAGGCCCTGCAGTACAGCCTGCATGGGGGCAACGCTCTGGCTGCCAACTTTACCTTTGCCCTACGCTTCCTCCCCGAGCGCTTCCACCCACACGCCCCTGACGCACTGCAGTGCCTGGAGCTGTGCTACAAGGTGAGGTGGCTGACCCTCAGTGGCCCAGTCCAGCCAAGGGCATAGGTCTATTGTGCTGATCTGATTCTACCCATTTCTGTGTTTGTCCCACAGGTGGATTGGCCGCTGAACATCATCATCACCGACAGCTGCATGGACAAGTACAACCGCCTGTTCTCCTTCCTCCTCCAGCTGAAGCACATGGTTTGGACTCTGCGCGATGTCTGGTTCCACTTAAAGAGGGCTGGTGAGTGCTGTGTGTGTCTGTTTATGTAGGAACCAGTGTCCAAGAGTACTTTGTACCAATAAAGTATATATGAGGAACATCTCAGGTTTTCTATAACATTGAAGTATGAATGGGCTTTGTGTCATCTCTGATCCTCTATACCAGTGAAGTATGAATTGGGTCTCGCTGAGATTTCTGGGATTGCTGCACTGTGCGGGAGTGGTGTAGGCGCTGTGTGCACTTGTGTTGTGTTGTGCGCCTGTTGAAGTGGTTGATTGGAATTATCTGGAAGTATATTTGAGTGTTTGTGTCCCAGTACGGTTACGTGGCTGGTTGTTGTTTAATTTTAACTTTTCTCGGTCTACATGAGTACTTGTCTGACCTTGTTAATTGACAGTGTGAGTGTTATCGATAGCTGCAGGCATTGCGCGAGTGGCGTTTCTTTCTGCGTTCCCTCGCATAAAACACCCGCAGGTAATATTATCTAACGTCGGTAACATTAACTCAGAAAGGACAGTTGCTCCTGAGCTTTGCTCGGTCGCCGGTCGGGGCCGGGAGGACATTTTCCACTTTTTTTCCCGCTCCGGTAGTAGCCTGCTTTGAGAGGGTTTTATGTGGTTTTTTGGCCTCCCTAGAGCAACTTCACTTTAGTTTAGCTAAACGTGGTTCAGCAGGAAGTTAGTCTCGGGTAAGTAATTGTTAATTTGGTTATTTTAAAAGTTTCATTTTAAGGTTGTTATCGCTGACGCTGTCGGATAATTTATTAAAAAGTTCCGATTTAACGCAAGTGTTAATTTAGTGTTTTATTGTACTCAGCGCTTTATTGTTTTAACTATACGTTAATTAGATCAACTAAAAGTTTAAATATGCTAAATTAATATACTGGGCTGGGAGTAAAGGACTGAGTCATAGTGAGTTTGGTAATTATGGGGCTAGCTCAGTGTTGTGTTTGCAAGATGTTTGCCCTTCTGGATGCTTGCGTCCAGTCGGACTTTGTCTGTGAGCGATGTAAGTTATTGGACTCACTCATGGTCCAGGTTCGTGACCTCGGAGCAACTGGCTCTCATCCAACATAACAATGAGTTAAAGGAGAGAGTTAACACGCCTTTTAGGGAGACTGTGTGTACGTCACAAGCGGGGAGGGGGAAGAATGATGAACAGATAGGTCGAGAGAGCTGGGTGAACGTAGGTCGTAGACGTAGAAAAGGGCGTACACAATTCACAGAGGCGGCATCACCTGAAGTAACGGTGTCTAACCGCTTTCAGGTGCTTCCAGCTTTAGAGCCGGAAGAGACTGGGGAGGCAGGTGGGCCCTTGGGCACTAAGGAGCCGCCTAACCCCAGTAGGAGGGAGGTTGTGGTAGTAGGGGATTCAATTATCAGAGGTGTAGATAGTTATGTGTGCACCCGTGATAGAGGTTCCCGTACGGTGTCTTGCCTGCCTGGTGCCCAGGTAGGGGACCTTCTGAATCGTGTGGACAGGCTTTTGGCCGCAGCCGGGGTGGATCCAGTGGTCGTGGTGCATGTTGGCACCAACAACATAGGAAAGGGCAGGAGGGCTGTTCTGCAGGATAAATTTAAAGAAGTTGCGGATAAGCTTAGAAGCAGAACATCCAC